GGGGAGGGCGCCGGGGGGGGCGCCGGGCAAGGCGTCGGGGAGGGCCGGGCTCGGCCGTGCGCCCGCAGGGCGCCAGCTTCAACAGAGCGGCGTGCCTGGCGCGGAAGGAGTCGTTCGACCACTACTGCGGGGTGCGGACCGCGGCGACGCGGCCCGGCGCGGGCAGGGAGGGGAGCACTCGGGAGCCTCGAGACGGGGGTCAGTGCAAACGGGGGTCAGCCAGAGCGCCGGATCTTGCAGGATCCTGCAGGGCCAGGGTCGCATTGACCCGGGTTTGGGTGCAGGATCCTGCAGGATCTTGCAGGATCCTTCGCATTGACCCAGGTTTGGGTGCAGGATTTTGCAGGATTTTGGAGGCCTGATTGACCCGGGTTTGGATTGACCCGGGTCAGAAGATCCCCGAAGCACCCAGCGCTCGCTCGAAGGGGAGGAAGACATACCCCCAGACAGGATCGCGCCGTAGACAACAACAACGACGACAACAACAACAACAACGACAACAACAACAACAACAACACCAAAAAACAACAAAAACAACAAAAACAACAACAACAACAACAACAACAACAACAACAACAACAACAACAACAACAACAACAACAACAACAATCATTTTACCCGAACGCGTGGTGTTCTCCCCAGTGCCAGGGTTTTCATACGACACCATGCAATACCCCCACTTCGTGGGGGGGCATTACAAGCTCTACCAAATATCCAAACGACTCTTCGCGACCACCCAAACCCAGCTTCCCGCCCTATGACGTTCGGGCACTTCAACTTCGTCCCTTTCCCCTTTTCCCCATGGCGTAGCGGACGACCGTGGCTACTACACTGGCGTGGGGGTACACACCCACAGAAATTGGTCACTATTTTGAAAAGTCGTGCAGGTGTTTTTCGAGGACCTACGGTGCGATTCGTGTGATTTTATGATGCGCGGTGCTAAAATTCTTAAGAACCAAATGGTTTTTGGAGATTTCGGCGTGCGCGCGCGAAGAAAAAACGAATGTGTCCCGCATGGTATTATTTGACAGGGATGATGGCCCTGGCAGGTGCGCAAACGTTGTCGCAGAAGTTCGAAAAAGTTGCTCGCAAAAGCCCGTTTGACAGAAATGTTGAAAAAGAGTTGGGTTTCCTACGAATCCGCAAGAGCGCGCGGGATGAGATTTTGACATTTGTTTTGTTGAAAAACCATTGGTTTTTTGATGTTTTTATGTTGAAATCGCTCCGAACACTAAGCTTTTGGAAGGATTTCGTCTTGCGCGCGCGAATGTCCACTTTACCTTATTTTTTACAAGGGATTCTTGAAATTTGATAATATTTGAACAAGAAATGTCATTTTATAGTGTTTTTTGCAAGGGAAAGCGGATTACAACAAAACAACCGGATCTTGATCACCTCGAATTACCTGAGGCTTCCTCACGAAAATGATGAAAATGTAGCTGCGGCCTAGGCGGCGCAGGGGGGGCGCGCACCAGGGGGCCCAACAATAATTATTCTTTAGAATAAATAATGTTCAACAACAATAACAACAACAATTTCTAGCACGTGGGGACACTCCGTTCTCACCAGTGCCAGGGTTTTCATAGGAGGCGGGCAATACCCCCACTTTGTGGGGGGGCCGGTTCAAGCTCTACCAAATTTCCAAACGACTCTTCGCCACCACCCACACCAGCTTCCCGCCCTATGACGTTCGGACACTTCACTTCGTGGCATGCGGACGACCGTGGGAACTTTACAAACGGCGGTTGGAGTACACACCCACAGGAAGTTTCTAAGGTACAGCGCGCGCGCCGGGTAGAAATTTTTGAAAAGTCGTGCAGGTGTTTTTCGAGGACCTACGGCTGCGATTAGTATTCCGTTTGAGCTCAGAACCCTCCCTTAGAATATTTCGCCTAGCTTCCTGGCGTGTGATTTTATGCATGCTCCTGGATGCTAAAATTCTTACGCAGGAAATGGTGTTTGGACGATTTCAGCGTGCGCGCGCGAAGAAAAAACGAAGGTGTCCCGCATGGTATTATTTGACAGGGATGATGGCCCTGGCAGGTGCGCAACCGTTGTTGCAGAAGTTCGAAAAAGTTGCTCGCAAAAGCCCGTTTGACAGAAATGTTTAAAAAAGTGTTGGGTTTCCTACGAATCCGCAAGAGCGCGCGGGATGAGAGTTTGACAATTTTTTGTTGAAAAACCATTGGATTTTTGATGTTTTTATGTTAAAATCGCTGCGAACACTAAGATTTTGGAAGGATTTCGTCTTGCGCGCGCGAATGTCCACTTTACCTTATTTTTTGCAAGGGATTCTTGAAATTTGATTATATTAGAACAAGAAATGTCATGTTATAGTGTTTTTTGCAAGGGAAAACGGATTACAACAAAACAACCGGATCTGGACCCCATCCACTTTTCTGAAGCTTTCGCGAAAAAAATGATGAAAATGTAGCTGCGGCCTAGGCGCGGCGGGGGGGCCGTGCACCAGGGGTCCCAACAATAATTATTCTTTAGAATTAATAATGTTCAACAACAACAACAACAACAACAGCAGCAGCAGCAGCAGCAACAACAACCACCACAACCACAACCACAACCACAACCACAACAAAAACAAAAACAAGAACAATAACAACAACAACAACAACAACAACAACAACAACAACAACAACAACCACAACAACAACCACAACAACAAACACAACAACCATAACAACAATAACAAGAACAACCATAACAATAACAATAACAACAACAACAACAACAACAACAACCACAACAACAACAACAACAACAACAACCACAACCACAACAACAACAACAACAACCACAACAACAACAACAACAACAACAACAACAACAACAACAGCAACAACAACAACAGCAACAACAACAACCACAACAGCCCCTGGGGGGCCCTCGCCAGGCAACGGGGCCGTCAAAGAAGGACTCGGGATGGCAAACCGGCCCCGGGAAAGGGACGGGATTTCCGGTGACGCCGTCCTCCTCGTTCTCCTCCTCCTCCTCCTCCTCCTCCTCCTCCTCCTCCTCCTCCTCCTCCTCCTACTCCTGGGGCGCCGTCCTGAAAAAGTCAGGACGTCGCATGTCTGGGAACTGACCTTGATAACACGACTTCTGGGAGCATCGTTGCACCAGCTCGTGGAACCAAAAACTCTTCGTGATTCGCTCTCGAGGGATGCGAGCACGGAGTGCCCCTTGCCTCGTCGCCGCGGTTGGACTCGTCTCGGACCTGCCGGCGCTCCGCGCAGGCCCGCCGTCCCGTCCAAAAGAGGGTGGGTGCCCAGGCAGGCGGCAGCCGTGCAGCAGGTGAGATGGGGGAGCCGGCCGAGCGGGCCCAAGAGTCAGTTCCGGATGGGGTCGCTGCATCAGAGGAGCGAGCAGGGTGGGGGCCGGGGCGCCTCGCCTCGAAGAGTGGCGAGGAGGGGGAGGGAGGAGGGGGGAAGGAGGAGGAGGAGTTGGGAGGAGGAGGAGGAGGAGGAGCTGGGAGGAAAACGGTAACAGGTTGTCCCCCGAAGAAGTAGAAGAGGGTGATATGTTTGTTTTTGTTTATTTCTTTATTTCTCTCTCTCTCTCTCTTTCTCTCTCTCTCTCTCTCTCCTTTACTTCCTCGTACCGTGTCTGTTTTCCAGAAAGGGTTCTTTTGGGAGCCCCGGCGGTGGGGGCCTTTGGGCCATCTTTCGGGGTCTCTTGGAGCCATCTTGCAGGACGTCGATCAAGGTTGGAGGCCCTCTCACGGCGTCTCGGCCTGGGATTCGGGGCGCGCCGTCAACAGGCCACCTGTCTACCACCTTTCCTCCTCTTCCTCCTCGCCCTCCTCCCCTTTCTCCTCCTCCTCCTCCACCAACCTCCTCTTATCTTGGGCTGTCTAGAGCCCTCTCTTGGGACCATCTTTGAGCCCCCTTGAGGGCCTCTTGGGGCCATCTTGGGTGTCAGTCTTGGGCGCTCCTTGGAGCCAACTCGGAGCAACCTTGAGGCCTCAAAGACCCACGGGATGCGAACAACCAGTCTTAGGGAATGGGTCGAGACTTTGGGGGACCCCGCATTGAAAAAAATACGACGTCGGATCTCTGGGTCCCCATCCTCGTCCCCTTCGACACCCCCACCGAAGTGCCACCCCGGTCGGGATGATGCACCCCTCGAAACCCGAGGGGGGACGGCCCAGATCCCCATCCAGGGGGGTACGGTAGGTTCGTGCGGCGTTGGCGCGCCAGCGACGCCGGCGAAGGCGTTCAAGGTTGAATTCTGCGACGCGGAAGCACCGAGGGACACGGTAACGCCGTTGGACTCGATCGGATTCAACCCTGAGCGATCGGGGCCGCGATCGATTCAAGGTTGAACGATCGGCGCGGTGTCAAGAACCTTTGCGCGCGCCGACGCCGCGCGAACCTGCCGTAAATCGGCCAGTGGGGCCCAGGCCGCGCCGCTGGGGATGGGCATCTCACGAGCGGTGCTCGCTCGGTGCGCGCGGCCCGCTGCTCAGGTGATGGCGTGGGTGGCCCCTGCGCGGCCCGCGGAGCCCACCGAGCCCGGCTGCTACGTGTGGCACCCGAGGCGTCCTACGACGACGACGACGACGACGACGACGACAGCGACAGCGACGACGACGACGACGACGACGACGACGACAGCGACAGCGACGACGACGACGACGACGACGACGACGACGACGACAACGACGACGACGACGACGACGACGACCACGACGACAGCGACGACGACGACAGCGACGACGGCGACAGCGACGACGACGACGACGACGACGACGACGACGACGGCGACAGCGACGACGACGACGACGACGACGACGACGGCGACGATTGATCCAGCTGTCTCTTGTGGCTCCTCTTCCCTCGCATCTGTCGGGTGTTGCTAGGAGCGCCCCTGGCCCAAGGTGCCCCCAGGATTTCCACAGAAACCTTCTTACAGCCTCCAGAGCACCCTTCGCGAGGCCCAGAGGGCCCCGGGCCCACACATCGGGCGTCTCGAAAAAATCG